TATCGGTAATGTATGGGCAGGTGCAAGCAGTAGACACTGGACAATATTATAGAGAAATGTTCTTTAACTACTAAATAAATAATTCTAAAGTTTTTTTTATTAAGAAATTTAAATCTTAACATATAATATATTATAAAGCATTAAATTTTAGTAGAACAACCATAGAAATGAATATTATAAGATAATATTTTGCACGTGGCATGACATCACCATTATATGGGATCGCGCAGGCCCTGGCGTAAAAATAGATGTTTGAAACTTCAATCCTGGGAAAGCTAAGGAGAAAATAAAGGCTCCTTTATTACAAAGTTAAGATAACTTAGCAATCATACCATGTGCATTAAAAAATGTTGAATGCTACCGCGAAAATTAGTAAGAATTACTTATAGTATTACTTTCAGTCATATTTGTCAAAAATAATAAAATTTATATATAATTTTTTCAAGTATTGCTAATCTAATAATTAAAATAAAATTTTATTTTAACATTCTATAATAATATTAAATATATAAATTTTTAAAATAAAAATTTAATTTTAATTAATTAACAACGCTAAAAACACTTGTATAGAAAACATAAATTTTATTTTTAATATATATATATATATATAATTTATTAAAACATAAAAAATTATATATTATAAATATATATTTTATTTAATTTTTTTAAAATATTAAATCGCCAATTTAGTGTTTTATATATATTAAACAACTAAATGTATCACTTGTATTGATAATGAAAATTATAAAATATATATGTATATATTATAATTAAAAAAATTAATATTTATTCATTATAAATGAGATCAGATGTAATAATATGTCTTTTGTTGAAAAAAAAAGAGCATACAATACTTAATTATAAATCCGAATACTTTAAATTAACTTGTTATAATATCTATTAATTTTAATTGTTTAACATATATTCTTAACCACTTATTCAAAAAACCTAAAAAGTATTAAAATTATATTTTTGTTCATATCAGAGAATAATAAATACACTAAGCTAAAGGCGCAATGGAGGACCCTTAAGAAAAGGTTGTTTTGCTGAAAAGATACTTTATTTATTATTACGTTACACAATATTTAATTAATGCAGAATTATACTACCCTTTTTTAATAGTAATATATTAACTTAATTCAATTATTTTATTATTTATATTTATCCTAGTTTGAATATACGGTGTTGAAGTAATCCAATGCATTGTATTTACTTGCCCGTGTTCTTCCTCCTTGTATTTTTGTATAAAATACGAGTCGTACCGTATGATATTGTAGGCTAATGTAAAACAACGCTCGTATACACGATTGTCAACTTTATGGTAAAAAAAGATTGTGTGAATTTTTTTAAAATTTTAATGTATCAAAATAATAAATCAAATACATTATTTTTTTTTATTTTTAATTCAAACCTAGCAGGTAAAATATATTACAAAAATAAGAAATGAAAATTATATAAAAATACTTATTGTATCTTAATAATTAAATCAACACTAAAAACATGATAGAATAAAAAAATTATTTTATATTATTCCCTTATTTTATTTATTAAGTGATATGCATCTATATCGTGGGTGATTAATCTAAGAGTTTAGAGAACGTACAATATTAAAAAATAAATAAAAATTAATAACATTAATTAGTGTCTGTCGGACCAAGTAACTAAAAGGTGGATCATTGGCTAAACTCTTGTACAAAAAAATTGGAATGTGCACATATACGTATATGTGTACACCTAACAATATTTCTAATTCACGCACGGGGAGACATATGAGCTAGTATGTGACAAAGTTACAGAATGGTCGGTGCATATGGTACACATATGGCAAATTCAATTATTAATTTAAGTAGTTTGAAAATACTGAAAAAATAAATGTTAAGTTAGATATTGTAACTATTAATTGTATAAATACAGTTGATGGCGTATAGGAGATGGAGGAGAGTTGAAAAGCAAAAAACCTGAGCAGTGACGGCTGAGTTGGGATGGGAATGCGGTGGAACAGCACAGTTATTTGCGGGGGAGGAAGCTTAAGGTTTAGTCACTTCAGGAAAGTGAATGAATGAGTGAAAATACCAAAAGCTGGTAAAGGGTCAATCAAAACGACTGTGCTGCATGTGCGCAGGAGTCAGTGGTAGGAGCTCAAGTCAAGAAGGGAGGAGGAAGAAGAAGCACTCTCCTTTTTGGGGGTGTTTCAGTACGGACTTTGACCGGGAATAGCAGGTCACACTCAAAAACCCCCCTCGTAGCGCGTGCACGTCCATGAAGTTACGAAGAGAGAGGTGAGATTACGAGAGTGTCCCTGTGAAGGTTGTTGTGTCGTGTGATGTGTGTATGGAGAGAACTGTGGTTAAGTGGTGGAGACGGTACGAGAGTGAGCGGTGACAATAGGGTTGACGCGCACGGTACACGGACGTGTGCTGCAGTGTGCAGTGCATAAAGAAAATACAATCATCATTGCGTTTCGCAGCAAAAGCCTGATCTTCAACTTAACTATCAAACTTTCCCCCTCTCCCCTACCAGTCCCCCACACTTTATTTTACTATAAAAGAAATCGTGTCATTCACTTTTTACGTTCTCCACAAGGTTAGGATTCAAATTTCTTTCTTTTTCTTCAGACTTCAAAAAAATATGGCTTTGTTTGGATTAGTAAGAAAAATATATAAATTATTATTTTTATTATTTCCAATAAATAATTTAAAAATCACGGAATTTTAAATGAAAATTTTTTTTTTACACTTCATTTTTAAATACAATTTAAGTGATAAAAAGGACAAATAAGAAGAAAAATGTATATACGATGAAAGAAGAAATGGTATTTTAATTTTTTTATGACATAAATTATAATAAATAATTTTATGTTAAAAGAAAGTATAAAAAAAAAATTCTAAAAATTTTATACAGTTTATCTATTTTTTTCACTCGTTCTTTCGCTTAACCATATAAAATACATTTAAGATGCAATCTTTTACCATTTACGAAGTCTCCGGTGGTGACATTAGAAAAATATTCTTCTATAATATGTCATCTTTTAATTATGCGTTATATTATTTGGACATTAAATAATTGATAAAATACTTTCGAAAATAAGACAGAATAATAAAATTACCTCACTTTTAATATACACAGATATTCCCCTTTAATTAAAAATAAAGAGGCATAGATTCAACATTTCTACGGGTAATTAAAAAAATATTATAACAAATGACCGAATTTTATTTAATGCACATGTTCGTTTCAAGTCTTCGGGATTTTAAAACTTCAGATTTAATTGTAAAAACAATGGTTATTTGAAAGAGAAGATTCTATAAATCAATATGGATCAACTGGTCAACTCTACCGTCTAAGCTGAAGTTCCCGTAGCCGCGGAAAGTAAAAACACACAAATCACACATTTGTAATTAATTAATTATATGTATATATATAAAAAAAAATTTGCTATAATTAAGTAAATATTTTTGCATTAGATGTTTAAAGGACAAAATGAAAAATTAAATGATAACATTTTATTAAAAGGAAATGAGTTCTATATCATTAATATATTAACTCTTATAAATTTAAATAGTAACTTATTATAGTTATATTTTTAAAAAATAGATACTAACACCTCTTAATAACTATTTACTAATTTAATCATTAAATCACATGGTATGTTTTTATGATTATCTATTATATTTTACATAATTTGAATATTTATTGAGATATTATCAAAATTTTAATATTTACTTATATTTTAAAAATATAATATATTTTTGAAATAAAATTATTATACTTGATAGCAACTTTTAAACTCAATATTAAATTTGTCAATCTCACATGAAAAGTTATAAAACAATCCAAATGTTGAAATTTAACGTACGATGATATCAACATATTCTCACGTTTTTTAAAATAATTAAATCAGATAGTTATGGTGTTATGTTTTTTAAAATATCAACTCTCAGCTACTAGTTAAAAGTAATATTTTTATTTTCATTATATCTTTAGTAATTTTTTCTTTAAAATCTGTCCACAGTTGCATTCAAAGCAATATAAATATTTTGACAAAACCATTAAATCTAATAATTTAATAAATCAAATAATTTAATATATGAATTTAATTAAATTATATTATTTTATTTAATATTAAAAAAATTAAAATTAATTATCTTAGTTTTAAAATGATGAATGATTTTAAATAGATTAATATAGAAAATAATTACTATTTACAAAAGTATAAAATTTGTTTTGATAATTAAAGATGTGGTTAATTATTTTGTTACATTTACCAGTTAATTTAACAACTGATTTTATAAATCACTTTTAATTCAACTAGTTATGTTTTAAATGTTTGTTTTTATTTTTCAACTAACTTGTCCAATAATTTTGTGAAATACACCTTTACATATTTCTTGTTGTATGCCTTTGAATATAGTTTTTTTCCTATACTCTCCAAGTTATCTTTCTACATATGAAATAAAAAATCATTTAAAAATATAAAACGTATATAATAAATAAGGGAATTTATAGGAATAAAAGATAGATAATCTAGGACAATTATAAAGAAATGGAATAATTTATGTGCATCGAGTATCACAAGGATGGGAATTACAAATTGAATGCATATAATATAATAGCACTGTGATTTAAGATTATTGAGATACACATGCACGACGATTGTCGCACAAATTGAAGATGGCAGCCGATCTAGGTAAGGTTATATATCGGGTTCAAACACGATGAGCACCACAGATGATTTTCGTAGAAGAATCAAAACTAACTAAGAGCACGTCAATTTAGCAGAAGGTGGGAAAGCGTGACAAATAGACGATTTGTTTATTTATAAGTTGGTGTTCTGAGTGAAAGAGGACTAAGCCATCTCTAATAACTAATATTAAATGTGAAAGTCTAAATATATAAATATTACTAAAAAAGATAAGGCAGTTAAGAAAATAGTGATGGTGAGTGTAAATAACAATGATAGTTGAACACAATATATAGGGTGGGACGAGATGGGATTTATTAAGATAGATTTATGAAGAAGGGAAGGGCAGTAGCAGTAGAACTCAAGAAACTTGAAAACCCCTTCCTCTATATATCCTTTCCCTCTTTCTTTTCTCAACACACCACACGCTGCCAATTTTTATCTTGCGCCGCGCCGATCTATTCAGAGTAAGTTCTATCCATCTCCCTCTCTTTTTTTTTCTCTTTCCTGTTTTATATATATATATATATGTATATATGTATGTATATATTCATCGCTTTGTTTCTAAAATCACACGAATTTCGATTACGAGCCACTGATGGATCTTGCCGCTTCTTTTCTCCGCCGCAGCCCTTAGATTTGTCTTTCGCGTCTTCAAACTTCATCTGCACGCAAACGACGCCGTATTCAGATCTACCGGTGCAACTTTTTTTTTTCAAACTGAGAGTTTCGCATTTCAATATTTCGACGTTCTTCACCTTCTTGTTCCGATGATACTTATTTTCGTTTCAGATTCTTTTCTTCCTATTCTATTTGATTTGAAATGGATTGCATCGTTTATTGACTCGTTTTCGAGTCGGTTATTAATTTCTTGTGAGAAAAGATTAGGAGACGCTTTTAATGACCTAGATTAGTTTAATATTATCACATTTGATTTCCTTTTTTAAATCCGCGATCACGAATCGGTACGTGAAGCTTCGTTGAATCATCCATTTTGTTTATTTCTACGATTCCTCAATTTCCATGCCTTCTAATTATTTACAGCTATTACGATTTAATTATTATTATCACTATTGATTAATTAATAATATTATCTCCATTTGACTCTCTCTCTCTCTCTCTCTTGTTTGTTTGTAGAAAATTGAAATCCTGATACCGCAGGGTTGTGGAAGCTAGATACTGATTAGATCGTTCATTTGGAGAAAGAGAAAACCCACAGTACTAATTTCTATTAGGGATTTGATTTAATTCAATACGATTTGATGGTGATTTAATTAACCGAAGAGGTTGCCTTGGTGTGTGGGGGAAGAGAGAGAGAGAGAGAGAGATCGGAAAATATGTCGTCATCATCAAACTCGCCGTGCGCGGCGTGCAAGTGTCTGCGGCGAAAGTGTACCCAAGAGTGCGTGTTCGCGCCGTATTTTCCTCCGGACAACCCTCAGAGGTTCGCTTACGTGCACAAGGTTTTCGGCGCCAGCAACGTGGCAAAGCTGCTCAACGAACTCAGCGCAGCTCAGCGAGACGACGCCGTTAAGTCCCTGGCTTACGAGGCTGAAGCGCGTCTCAGAGACCCTGTTTACGGTTGCGTGGGCCTCATCTCCGTCCTTCAACACAAGCTCAGGCAGATCCAAGTGGAACTCAACAATGCCAAAAAGGAACTCGCTACTTATATTGGTCCTCAAGCTATGCAGGGCATGCACGCCCCCATTCTCCAACACCACCCCAACAACCCCTTTTCCTCCACCATTTATGGCAACATGCCGGCGGTGGCGGCCGCCGCACACGGCAGCCAGTTAATGATTCGGGACGCTCAGCCACAGCAGCATCAGATCTTGGAGGCTCAGCAGTTGGCTGCGGCTGTGGTAGCGAGAGAGCAGCAAGAGATGTTTAGGAGTTATGAGAATCAACAGCAACAGGAGTTTCTGCGGTTCAGTTGTGGGTTCGAAGTTGGTTCGGTTTCTTCTGGTGGTGGGTTCAGCCAGGTGTCCCCAGGTGCTGCTTCAGCTGATCAGTTGTCTCCCTCGTTGGCTTTGGGATCCTTTGACAGTGCTTACCACATGCAGCAACCACAGCAAGGAGAACCTCATCCTCATCCTCACCCTCTTCCACTTGAGGCACAGCTATTGCTCCCTCCGCAGCAGAAGCAAGAGTCACAACTTCCCCTTCACCAGCAACAGCCCGAAAACGAGGAGTGTAGGAGTGTTGGTCCATCTTGTTGATTTCCAATTTTGCAGCTCTTGTGCCTATATGCTTTTTTCTGAAACAATTTTCAGCCTAGGTATGCTCTTCTCCCATTTCAATCCATCCATTGTGGGTTTTTCTTTTCTGCTTTTGTTCATTTGTGAAGTTCTTATGGTTCTTGATGTAAGCCTGTTCACGTGGGTTTTGCTAACGGTGAACTCTGTTTATGAATGATTATTTCTACGTTTTTTTTGTTTATGCGATTGTAATTATTAGCTAGCTTTTTCATAACCGGGGCAATCTAGTTTGGTGGCAGGAGAAAGTTAATACGAGTCCTCGGGGTAGTAAGCAAAAGGTCGGTTAGGGGAATGGTCTTTTCACAATGAGAGACGTATGGTCTGGATCATCAATTATGAGAACTTAGAACAGTAAATGACCACATTAGATTTGCCAGCACGGCATATTCTACCTTTTTGTCGTCAAGTTAAAATGTCATGCTGAATAACAAAAGAAAGTTTACATATCTAGGTGGAAATGTTATAAATAATCTATGTTATGCTCTGAAGTCAAGTAAGGTACCTGTAGGGTGTGTCACTGGAATTCGGCAATCTATCAATTCAAGTAATTTGCCCTTGCAATCATATTAACTATTCTAGTAATTTGTTTGAATAGTAACATTAGTCTCATGTGATTGCTCGTGTTTACCTAATGAAAGAGATTATAAGCTAATCCTCTGAAAGGTAATTTGTAGAAGCCGACATGCCAGCCAAAAAAAGTTGGTATAAAAAACAAGATGTGTCCTATTGCGGGCTAACACCTTTGGTCTGCTTTTGTGGCATCCTTAAACAGTAATCACAACATACTTTCGTTTTCTTTTATGAGATCTTAAATACTACGATTGAACACACGTTCATCTTGATTTGCCATGATATTTATTGTTTCAAATAAATTCATGCTGTGTCTCGTAGGAACCGGAAAAAGGCTTTGGCGAGTGTAAAGATGATAGTCCACAATTAACTTTAAGTAAATGAATAATATTAGAGAACATGGTAAACTTTATGTGCCATGCATTTGGTGTCCTACGAACATGAATGTCAATTGTAGTTGCATCATTATTTGGCTATATTTCGAAGTCTTCCGCTGGCTGTTCAAATCCCTTAATATAGAATTTGCAGGATTTCGATAATATGTTTTGTATTAGACATGCCTTAATACCTTTTTATTTGCCCTCTTCTGCAGTTTTTACCTGCCGGATAGAAATGGATAGAAAGAGAGAGACGCGTGAAGCATACATGCGAGATTCATTAATCCGCATCGGTTTGCTTGGCTTTGAAGAGACTAACAACGTAGACACGATTGGAAAAGAGTAATTAAGATCTTCGCTGATCTTGGATATCTTTTTTTTTTTTTTTTCTCTTCTTAAATTCAATTTAAAGCAGTTGCCATGTTTTATCTCTCTTCTTTTTGTCAAAACAAAAATTGTAAATCAGAATTCAGAGAGCTTTCAAAAGCTTTAATTACTAGCTCCTTCGTATTTGTCAGATTATTAGTCATATAGCTGTCCAAGAAATACAAGAAGAAAAAACTCATTTAGCAGCCGAAAAATTCAGTCTGCTAAAATGAAAAATTCAATTACAAATTTATTTAGTTACTGAAATAGCAATCGAACTGCTAAAATATTGGTCGCAAATAGATTTAGCAACCATAAATAAATTTTGTTAAAAAATTTAAAATTAGCAACCAAAATATTTGGTTTACTGATTCTTCGTTTCAATTGCAAATTTGTAACTACTATTTCTTATTTCGATAGCTAACTGCAACTACTATTAGTAACACACTATCTAATACACATTTTTAATCATAGAGTGAAGTTTAGGTATTTTTGACGTTTTATTTAATCAATCCATTCACTACAAGAAATGCTCCATTTAGCGTCAGTTTATTAGTGACGATTAATAATAATCGCCACTAAATTATTTTAAAAATAATATTTAACGTCAGTTTTAGAAATTGTCAAAATGCAAGATTTAGCGGCAGTTTTGTGTAATTGCCACAAAAAATTCGGGATTTAGTGGCGGTTTTGCATAACCGCCGCAAAATAGGCGGTATTTAGTGGCGGTTTTGCAAAACTGCTGCAAAAAAAGCAGGATTTAGTAAAAATGCGAGATTTAGCGTCAGTTCACAATAACAGTATATAAGAAACATCACTCCTCTCTCATTCTCTATCACTCACTCAAAGCTATCATTCATCTCCACCTTAGCATCATGAATTCCAATACTACTCCTCTCTCATTCTCTATCACCCACTCAAAGCTATCATTCATCTCCACCTTAGCATCATGAATTCCACCATTCTCTCTAACATTGCCGCCACCACTGCTCCTGCCATCACCGTCGCACTGTCGCCATAGCCAAAATATCTTCTCTAATCGTGATAACCTTGGTAATCTTCTACTATCATTTTCACTTACTCAAAAAATGGCTTTTTTTTCAACGATTCTACACTATAAATTATAAAATATATATGTTGCGATGTTAAAAAATAAATGGAATGTGAATCCAAATAGCAAAAGAAAAAAATTAAGTAGAAGATAAAAACGAAAAAAAGTGTGGAACTCAAAAAATGGCTTTTTCTCCAACGATTCTACACTATAAATTATAAAATATATATGCTGCGATGTTAAAAGATAAATGGAATGTGAATCCAAATAGCAAAAGAAAAAAATTAAGTAGAAGATAAAAACGAAAAAAAGTGTGGAAGTCAAAAATAGAGTACTACCGGCCAAAAATAAAACACAATCTCGCCAAAAACAGAACATTGTCGCGCATAGTCTAAAATTTGAATTTCAAATTTTAGCGACAGTTTTAAACCGCCACTAAATAACTGCCACATATTTAGTTTTACATCACCAATTTTAAGGTCAGTTTCATAACCGCTGGAAAAATATTTAGAGGAGGTTAAAATTTAACCGCCACTAATAAGTATCTTTTTTGTAGTGATTCTTTAATTAATGCCACTCATACTTCAAAACAGTGTGTTTTAAAATAAGTTTAAAAATTGAAATTAATCTTATTAGTTATAATTCATACATGAAAATCCATTTATAATTGGAATTAAAATTTCGTATCAATTTCATGAAGTTATCAATTACCAGTTAATTAATATTATCAAGTTATAAAGAACACTCAAAGGTAATATTTGTCTCAAATATGAGATATCTTTACTTTTTTATAACAGGATAAGCTTAGTTAAACAACATTATAAATAATAAAAACTTTAAAAAATATTTTATTGATTAAAACTTTTAAAATCATTTTAGAAAAAACCTAGTTTTAGAATGTTTTTATTGTAATTCTCATTTTTTTTTATTTCAAATCTTAAAATGCACTGCCAAATTTAAGGAATTGTTGATTTTTATATACTTACCAAATTTCCAGTAGCACTAAATTACTAACTGAAGCTGCACATATTTGTGTTTTTAGTTTTTGTATAGTTCATAAATTTAGATATTGATTGACTCGGTAAGATTTACACTCAAAGGTAATACACTATAACTTGAAATACTCCATGTTAGAGTAAAGAGATGGTGTTACCAAATGTAAGATAGAGAAAGACTTTAGACTAAAAAATTACTCCTAAAAAATTATATTTACCTCATAAAAAGGGTCGAATTGTTTATTAAGTTTTATGCTTAACTTTCATTCATGGTATGCTTTTTATTAAATAAGACGATCAAAAGTTTCTAAAAGTCTACTCAATAATTTTTTAAACCTAATAGAATGACTTTTAAAATAAATATATAATAAAATAATAAAAAATATTGTTTTTGTAGTAAAGCTATTATAATATTTTTAGAGTATATATTTATTTATACTTTTTATAATTTATTTAAAGGTTTAAATTTACTGGTTAATACACATAATAATGTAAAATTTTAGGCTTATTAATTTATTTAAAAAATCTTATTACAAAGTAATTAATTTATGCTGATAAAACGTATATATTTTTTTTATATAAGAATAAAATGTAACTTAAATGAGCCTATTTCCATCTCAAGCTCACCTTAACCTCTCCGTAATAAGATTAATGATTAGCTCCTTTTCAGACATAATGCGCTATACATGCAGATTCATAGAGAGAGAATTTGTTTAGTTTAACAGATGTTTTTATAATTTTAATTGCATGTTATTTTAATTTTTAGTATTGTTACACAGTCTCTTTCATTAAAAATTATGTTAAAATACATTAAAATATATAGGATGAGTGCATTTTTATATATTTTTAAATAAAAACATTTATTTTTATTTTTTAATTAGTAGTATTTCCTTTTGTTTATTTCTGCATAAATTTTTAAAAAAAACTATTTTCATAATTTGAATCAAGGACTGTACCTTATTCTCAGCTCGACCATTGAGCAATTGTCTGTATTGGCTATGGTTTTTATTTTTATTTTATAACGTGCATGTATCTCGATAAATTTACACAGTTTATTCGTCTAATATATCTAAACTCAAACTAAAAGCGATCCAGTATTTCACATCATCACCGTTAAATTATAAACGACATAATTTTATATTAATTCCATAAAAGATTCATAAATTAATCCATTTTTTGTATTAAAAAATTGTTTTACATAAAGACTGGTAATTGCATATCATTTCACACGCAATGTATGTCTCTGATAAAGATTTGACCAATCTGTAGAAAATAACAACACCCTAACACGTTACTTTGTTCATGTAATTTTTTGCAATCAAAAATTTCAGGCAAGTTGACCAAACAAAGATTATAGATTTGTTTTCCACGAAGATTGCCTTAAGTCAATGGTCAAATATAATAGTCCATTTTTCTGTAAAAGCTGTTTTGGAATCTGTAATCACTCAACCGTGTGCAGCTCACCGATTTGGGAATTAATACAAAACGCTACTTAATTTGATTTTTTGAGATCTGTAATTCTTTTATGGTGCGTTTTGATGTAATGGAAAATAAGTAGAAAACAATATGGTGAAAAAGAAATATGTCAGATTTGTAATTTTTTTATATCAGCGTGTTATCAAGCAATAAGATAATATTTGAAACATTTTTTTAAATTAGCAGAAAAGTTGATAATCTTGGATGATATAGAAATTTAGAATTTAGACAGTGTAATTTTTTTTATAATTAGGGTATTTTAATTAAATTCTTAGCGATATTGCCTAGTGTTTTTGAGCTTTCATTAAGAAAATATTTTTTTATTAAAATCACAAATAGTTATTAATTTAAAATAGAAATATTTAATGCTTATTTTTTAAATCATTAGAAGTATTTCAAAAATTATATTTATTAGCAGAACCCTTATTGTAATGAATGGTTTTGTTAATTAAGATATTGTAATGGTTCAGAAATTAAAAATTATTTTAAAATCCAACACTTACAAACAAATCCAATATAATAAAAATCATGAAAATTGAATCGAAAACTAATTGAATCGCTATATATAAATTGATTTTTAGTTCCTTAAATCAGTTAATAGTTTAAAAATAATTTGATTCGATTTTGAACTGTTCTATCGAATACTCCAATTTTTTTAGTTAAATCATTTTTACTTTATGAATTGATTTTCAATGTAATTTTGTATTCAGTAATATTCAAAGAACTTGATTGGCAAATTTAATACTTTTTTAATATATATATTTTTATTTTATTTTTACATTTTACATCTTTGTTTTTTCTTTTCTCTTCTTTTCTTCCACCTATTTCTCATGCATTAATTGAGTGTGAAATAATAATTACTCTCTCAGTTAAATTTAAATAGGAAAATGAGTAACATGTCTTTGTTAATTCCTCATAACAAAATCACCCCAAACAAAAATTTAGGAACATGTTCCCATGTGTACTAAAATTTAACCGAGGTTTGACCAAACACAAAAACATTTGCTTCCATATAGTATTTTTTAGGTAGATATGGAAATTAACGAAACATAGTTTACAAGGCTCAGACTAATTGTGAATAGGCACCTCTCGCCCAATGGTTTGTAAATTGGTGGTATTGGGAATCTTCGAGTTTGGTGAATGGGTTTGAGTGATAAGTACTGCATATTATATAAGGTGTTACCCATTTACTCGACAAGCTTGAGATTATAAAGAGCATTCATCTGCTCCGTAAGGTCTGACTCCAGTAATATTTTTAGCTTTTGTTGTTCACCTTTCATCCGTACAACATAAATCTGGCAACAAAAGAAAAATAACAATAATTTGATGTTTTCATGCTCAACTGGATACATTGATGAAATGTAAAAATTTTCTAAGACCCGAGATTTGACCCCTGGTCACCTTGCATATAACTTGCTTGCTCTCACTACTTGAACTATACTGCACGTTTAAGATATCCAATATTTAAATGCGGAACCCAAAGCCTTCTATGGACACTATCTGCTTACTGTTAGCCCAATGACAAACTGGGCTGGATCCTCACTTTGAGATTCATAAGTCATGTGTATCTTTGACAAAAAAGCAGCAGCAGCATATATGTAAATTCAACGCTTTATTCATATTCACTCTAGGAGATCATTGTTAGAATTTAGAGGTCAAGAGAGCTATTCCAAGGGTCCAAAACTTTTTGTAGTTACACAATCAAGAGGTTTCCTTAGAGTATTCTAATTGTGTGTCACTTGCATTTGAACACAACATAATTAACCAACATCATTGTGTGAAGTATGCAACATATTTCGTCCCATTACTCTACAAACAGTGACTCAAGGGATGGATTCTTTGGCAGATACATCCTTATCATCTTCAACCTGTTGCTAATTAGAGTAATTGCTGCCTACTGTTAGATCACATTCAGCTCATCCTTATTGACTCACCAGAATGATATCAGATCAGTAAGTTAAGAGTGCATAAACAAAAAGAAAACATAACATGAAGTGAGCCAAGTGCTTATTATCTGTAATTATCATATGTAAATGATAGAAGGTTTATATGTAACTATTCCTCGTGCTTTTAACACAACAACTAAATCTTATCTTACTAAGTGAAGTCAGCCAGGTAGATTATAGATATCATTAAACAACTTAAAACTAAAATTTTAAAAATATAAATTATCAAAAAATATTTTTTAATAACTTTATCCTAACACAATATCATTTTTTTAATAATTTAACTCTAACACAATATCGTTTTTATATAAAATGTTTCAATAATTAGTCACCAAAGATCTAACACAACCTTCCTACTTTATTTTTGTAATAATAAAAGAAAATTGTACTTATCTTTTCAACTCATAAATTAATGAGTGATTTAATAGTGTCTGTACAACATGGGTCTAGAAGGTTTTCATTAAATAGAATAAGTTAGAAGTTTGGTAAAGTTTCGTAAGAATTTGGGCCGCGCATGACAAATTAACATAAACAACAGTATGAAAAAGATGCCCACATAAATTATGCATTTCTTTTGAACCAATGCATTGAGGAAGTTGAACATGATCAGGAATCTTGTTACTGAAAGCCTTTTATTTATTTAAGCAAACCAGATGACCCTCCCAAATACTAGACACAAGAAAAACTAACCAGGGATTTTAGGTTAAATTAAAAGGTCGTACATTATAAGGCCTAGTATCCCAAAATACGTGACCCCGACTCGCAGCCTTTGCACATAACCTTGGCAAATTCAACCGTTTCTACAAGAAAGCCCAGTAAAAACAAAAAGGCCGCAGAGCGAGGAATCTTATACATGCTGATATAAAGAGAAAATTCTCACTAAATTTCTAATATTTTCCATTCTCAAAGAGTTAAATATTTTTACTTGTCTAAAAGTGAGAAAAAGGCCCTTTAAACTAATTCATATATCTACCACCCATACCTCGTTCTCATGAATTATTTAATAATATATTTTTAAATTGTGTTTTGTTAATCTCAGTTCTTAAGATTGAGTTTAAATATCTATAAATAAAAAAAATTTATAAAAAAGGTACACAGTTATTATATTAAAATTATAAAAATATAATAAATATTTTTTTTTAATAATTTTTTATTATTAGCTACTTATCCTCAACCATAGACCCTTAAAGTTGATATTAACAATTTTTTTTAAAATTTATTACATTTTTAAAGTAAAATTTTATTGAATTCAAATTTGTAAACAATTGTGGGGCATAGCATAGTATTCAAAAATACTCTATTCAAAATCACATGTTTTGTGTTGCAAAAGCGGGTGAAAAAGAAAAAAAATTCATTGTACAAAAGTGAGTACACAATCCCACACAATCATTCCTTTTTTGTCTTCCAAAGAGTCTCCATCTCCCATACTCATCTCCTCCATCTTTGTAGATCTATCAACATTGTACTTGTCCTATATTGCCGCCACCTAGCGTAAGCAACACCACAGACTCACCTTCAGAGCTAACTCCTTCGCCTCATCCTTCGGTTCTACCTCCTGAATTTGACATTCCCATTGTTCTTCAAAAAGGTATATGTTCTACTCATAATCCTTCTCATTATATTTCTTTTGAGTTATCATCGTCTTTCTCTTTCCTATTATTCTTGTCTTTCTTTTTGTCCTTTGTTTCCATTTCTAAGAAGCAGGTGATGCATTTGCCTATCTTGAATGACAACAAGTTGTGTTAGATGAGATGTGTATATTACACAATAGTGGGACTAGGGATCTCATTCGTCTACCACCAGAGAAGTCAATTGTTGGTTGTCGATGGGTGTATAGAATAAAGGTTGGTCTAGATGGCAAGGTTGACAGGCTTAAGGCTTCGTCGTCAAAAGCTTTACTCAAATTTTCAAGTTGGATTATAGGGACATTTTTTCTCCCGCCGCCAAAATGCCTTTTGATATGACTATTCTTATCCATTATTGCCATTTGTCATTGGCCTCTCTATCAGTTGGATATCAAAAATGTCTTTTATATGGAGATTTGCTCGAGGAAGTCTACGTGGAGTAACCTCCTTGCTTTGTTGCTCAGGGAGAGTTTTCTGGTCTTGTTTATCAACTGCAAAAATCTTTATATGGTCTCAAACAGTCACCCACAGTATGGTTCAACAAATTTAGTACTGTGATTCAATAGTTTGGCATAACTTGAAGCGAGACTAACCATTCTGTCTTCTATCGTCATTCACCAACTATTTGTTTATGTTGATAACATTATCATCATGGGTAGTGATCATCTCAGCATTGCACGAGTAAAGTAGCATCTTTTCAAACATTTTTAAACGAAGGATGTTAGCAAATTGAAATATTTCTTGGGAATAGAAGTAGCATGGTCCAAAAATGGGATCACCATATCTCAAAGAAAGTATGCAATGGATATTCTAGTAGAAACAAGAATGTTAAATTCTAAGACAATCGCTACCCCCATGGATTCCAATGTCAAGCTCATGCTAAATTAAGAGTAGTCTCTTATAGATCCTAAAAGGTACAAACGATTAGTAGAAAAGTTAAACTACCTCATTATTACCTGTCTAGATATCTTGTATGTAATAAGTGTAGTAAGTCAATTCCTCAACTCTACATGTAAGAAATATTAGGACACAATGACTCGTATTGTTCGATAAATTAAATGACTCCAAGAAAGGGTCTTTTATATGAAGACAAAGGATACACTTGAGTCATGGGGTATTCTGAAGCAGATTGGGTAGGATCTTCCCTTGATAGAAGGTTCACTTCTGGGTTCTGTATATTTGTTAAAGATCACCTTGTCTTTTAAAAAAGTAAACAAAATGTTGTAGCCAAATCCAATGTGAAGGTAGAGTATCGAGTTATGGCTATAGCCAGTCAGAAGCTTATATATCATTTATATGTGACAATTAGACCGTCATGCATATTGCCTCAAATTTAGTATTACATGAACAGACAAAACATATTGAAGATGATTGTTACTTTGTCAGAGAAAAAGTTATGTTTGAAGAAATGTCTTCTAATTTTATAAATTTTCATGATCAACTAAGAAATATATTTATTAAATCACTAAAGAGTCTTCGGATTAACTACGCAACAAGCTTGGTGTATATAACTTATATACTCCAACTTGAAAAGGAGTGTTAAAATTTTGTAAATATAATAATTATATATTTTATAATTATGTATTTTTTTTCTTATAAAATTCAATAGATAAATTTACTCAAATATCTCTTTGATTTCTCTTTTCTTAACAAAGTTTTTGTTAACATTATCCCTTAAATATGATTTTAAACATCCAGAAACAAGATTAATTTTTGTATTAAAAAATATTACATTAAAAATATAATAAATCTTTCTTTTCCCATAAAATCTTATTATTTTTAGTCACTTAAAATTAATTCTAATGTTAACATTTTCCTTATCAAAATACAAGGGCAATAACAGGTAACACGTCAGGAAACACATGCTAATCCAATGGCTTGCCACCTAATGGCCAGAAATGAAGAGGTTCTGTATATAAGGAAGGCATGGGTAACGAGGGTCGCAACTAGATTGCAAGGAGTTGAACGCCACCTAAGAATCAGCTTCAACAACTATGCGATTAATGTTAAAACAAAGGGCAAGGTTAATCCCATAGAGAAGCACCCCAAAGCTCCACACGGATCGCCAAGCAAGCTCCGAAGTTACAAAGATGACTGAGAAACAAAATCCCTTGTGTCATTTCTGACATTTCTTTATACCCATATCTTGAGTAGCTGCCCTAGTAAAAAAAGGTCAACTATTTGGCTTGAGGAATTGACCAACAAAATGTCCGAAACTCAAACAATGCCAAAAGGCATGAACAGCTAGCACAGCATAGTGCAAAATTGTTACTATAAATAACCGTACAAAATGTTACACTTCTTCTTTGGAAGAACAACGTATGTATTCTAATCTGAATCGGATGACAACTGAGGAGGACACAATGTCGCAACCATTTTAGACAACATCTCTTCCATTTCCACCAATTCTTCCCTACCAAAGCCCCAACTCCTAAGTAACTCCACCCCAGCTGCTCCTCGCTCAATTCCAAACCGGTGAAGATTTTGCAATTTTCTCTCCAAAAGTGGTAAGGCAGCACTGGTGGAACGTAATCTGGCTGCCATGGGAATGGAATGGACGTCAAGAGATCCTTTTGGTGAAGAATTAGTGCTTTGCCCATCCATCAATTCACCCCGCTGGCCAACATGGTTCCCAAAGATTGATGGAAAAGGCAAGGGAATAGGCAGCGGACAAAGAGCAACAGATAGATGACAGAACATTGGCCTTGTATTTGCAAATTGAAAAGCAGCATCAACTACATCCTTTACCTCAGAAACTGAAGCAAGATGACCTATTAAACCAAAACAGAAGGGTTGAGATAAAATAATCATGCAGACGACAGAACTTAAAAGCGACAGAATGGAAAAAAAAATAGAATAGAATAGGAGAACTAAAATAGTAGACCACTAACACATTTATGCTTATGAAGAATCTATTATACATCAAATAAATTTGCACTAGTTAACACCTTGTTCAAGCAAAATCAAAATTTAGTCATTCTATTGTCATAAATATTTTTTGAAAATCTCCTGTCTTCAAATGACTTTTAAAATGTAAAACTAATGAGGAAAAATGCATGGGCACGGTTATCTTACTTTTGTTCTGCCAACATTGCTGCATGTTCTTCTAAGTATTATTTTAATTTCTCATTTTTTTCAAACATCTTCAACTAAAAGCAGGTTTATCTGCCTAATTAAATAGAAGCACTGTATCAAAGTTTGACAAACAACTAAGATCTTCACAAATTGGTGAATCTATGGTGATTTAACTAAGAGAGTTCCATAACAAAGAAGATGAGTGCCAAAACAACCTGAAGCTACCAGAATCATTGTCAAGATTGTGGATTCATTAAAGTGTAAACACTGAGGTCCAATATCACTTTCCACTATGTTACAGCTGAAAGCTATAAAGTAATTTATCATCTAGTTCATTCAGAATTATAAAAGAAAGATGTAACCCATGGTGTTACTAAACATTTTATGTATGTATGTATATATCCTAAAATTCTGTTGTTTTCACATTACGGCTTACTCAGAATGGTAAATGGAATTTAAATTTAGATAATATACTATATACTATACAATAAATTAAACCAATATGCTTAAATGGGCCAAAAACATTGAAGTGGAGAATACTGTTTGATTAAGTTCGAAAGACTAAGACAAGCGAAACATTCAAGAAAAAAATTATAAATCTCTATAGCCAATACCTGATGCAAGAGCTCCGTGGACTGTCATGTGTTCAATTGCCTGCATGTCTTCAACATCCTCTGCTATTTGTGGGGTCAACGGCTGCAAATTCTCTAACAAAGACAGTTCATTCTGTCCCCCTGCATTTGAAGAGTAAGACCGATCAAATACATTTCTTATTAATATCAACCTGAAAAATTATTCACATTTACCAGTTAAAGAAGGTGCGGGCATAGCAGCATCCAAAACTGACACCATATTTTGCCTTCCTTGCCCTGACAACATTTGTACGACTCCATGAACATCCACAGCCCCGGAAACAGAACATGCATCTGCAGTAGGCCCAACTGGAACCATTCGGAAAGGTAGACTAATGGAGTGTATTGCAGCCGCATAAACTGCACTCGAGTGGTACTGCTTCACATCTTCAATGTGGAGGAATTTGGAAGCTTTACCTATGAAATAAAAGATGGTTCAGTAAAGTTGAATAAGCAAACATCAGTACTTGCTGGCTATTATCAAAGGAAGGGTATTCACTATTTAGTTGTCTAACATAAAAAATTCTATATTACAAAGATTATTACTTTTACTTAACGAGGGCAGACCAACAGGTACAATAAGTTTACAGTAGGATGATAGTCTTGAAAATGATACAGCATCATGAATATCCTCTACGATAGTACGCTTTCTGCTATGAAGATTTGTGCGTGAACCAGAACCTTGGACAGCATAGAGTAAGACAGGAGTGTTTGTATATTCATCTACAATATTCTCTAAAAATTCAGCAGCAACCGCAGAGAAACCCCCAGAATCATCAACCACAAATTGAAATCCCTGTCAAAATTGCCAAAATTTAGAGATTGCATAAGGCACATCAAACTAAAATGAATTTTCTTTTAGAGCCTAATGGACACAGGCTATGGCTAAGATCAAAACAACATATATGTTTGTAGTTATACTAATATTACCATCAATCTGAAAATTTCAAACCAAAGTTCATTAAGCTGAACAAGAAAAAAGTAGGAAATCCATTAATGCTTCAGATATCTAGTCATAAGGTAGCTTTGTGAATTGTGAAACTACAATGAATTAATGATAGGTAAGCATTTTAGAGAATCATGATTTCTGTACTTCTGTTTGGTTCATTAAATATAAGCTTTTGTTCAAGGCATAAGCAATGCATTCTCATATATAACAAGGACATTATAAAAAACGAAAGCTAAGAATATAAATTGACCGAAAAGTGAAAACTGGTAGAAAATCCAGATGCCACAAAGTATTAATTCCACTCATTGTTTCACTAAAAGGGTTAAAGTTAAAAGATACACAAGTATACCCCAAACCCAACTTAAAAATTGAAATAGCAAAAAACAGTTACCTGTATATGGTCACACTCTTCAACAAAAAATCGAAGTCTATCACTAATTTCTTCCCCTTCCGCAGCCCAAGAAAAGCAATCCCTTCCACTTCCATAATTGTCAAATTCCTCAACATCTGCCCAAACTCCATTTAATTCATATAGACTCCGCGGGTGATAATTTACTTTTGAGTAGTCTGTCCAAAACTGTACACCATTTTCTAGACATTCAATTATATCCTTATCCTGAAACTCACTCTGAGAACCATTATTTGAATCACTGATCTCATCTACCACATTCAAATTCTCTTCTTCTTCATGAAGTCTTTGTAGGAATAGATTTCTTTTATGAGGCTCAGAGGTTTGGGTGGAAACTCTGCCAGCCCTGCACCTTGGTGTATGGGCATTCAGTGCATTTGAACATAAATTTAAACCATGGGGCCATGACAGATATAACTGATTAAGTAGGTTTCATGTCCAATAAAAAGTGGCAGGCAAAACAATTTCAAATTTTTAATACCCTAGAAGGCTTTAAGTAGATGCTTGACACAAATGAAATATACAAGTGAACAGAACATCAAGAACTTTTGCAAGTTAGATACTTGTAAACATTGGCCATTTTTAATCTTTGTGCATACTTTTAAGGCCTAACAGTCCCTATAATTTCATTAAATTTTTAATAAAGCCCTCATAGTTTAAATACTTTTAATTAAGATTTAAGTCCTTATAAGTTTAACAATTTTGTAATTATATTCTTAAAGGTTAACACCATTAACCCTCGGTGACCTATATAACTCACTCCTTACTCAAAAATTATCTCTGGGGATGATTTTGAAAACATTTCAGTCACTGTATTTTTCTTTCTGAGTTTTCCTCTGAATCCCCCACCCAAATTCTTCCAGGTTTTCATACCCACAATTCCCATCACCATATTTTGATTCTTTAGAAACTTTTTCAATTATTAATGTAAGTAAGCTAAAAGATTAAAGCTGTTAGTCTGTTTCTGTAATTTTTGGTTAAAGAAAGAACAAGATACTTCTTGTCATTTCACTTGCCTACTTCAACTCAGGATCATTCAGACTGTGAAAATGAAAAATGAATAGATTCTCTATTTCTCTACGTTCATATGTTAAAACACTGCTACAATTATCATAGAAGCATAATAGACTAAAAGCTCTCACCAGGTGACAATATCTGGTGTTGTGGGAGCAACCTCCTTATACAATGTACCACGTGAACTCATACATCCAAGGGATCCTGAAAAGGTTTACAAATTCTAAGAATTGATTACAAGAGGGATGAAAGTGAATGATGTTTACACTGTACACGAAGAAAAAAAGAGATAAGAAATTATACAACGAATCTTATGCTAAAATAAGTTTGCATTGACACATTCTATCCTCATGAGATCAACAAAAGACAAAATTAACATGGAGCAAAGGAAAGTAGCAAGGATATTTAAATATAAAATTGAAGTACAAGAAGGAAACACTGCATAGGCAAGATATTGAGCTTTCTTCAGCTCCTTAAGGGATGATAGGCTAGCATGTTGCATAAAAAGTTTTAAAATGTTGGTGGATTGGTTTTCCATTAACTTAACATGCTTGCCTTGTTTCTACCTCCCACAAAAAAGGTTGGGGGATCAGTATCACAATATTTAAATAATAACTAATGAATTTTTGCATTTTGCACCAATTACATTGGTACTACTACATATTAGTAAAAAAAATAATTAGTATTCTTCTTCAGAATTCAGTTGAATGTAAGACTAACCATGAATCCTTTGCTACCACTTAGCAGCATCAACTCAATGAACAGCAATACCAGTAAATAGATTCTATAAAAAGGGCAAGAAGGAACAGCACTGATAAACAAAGGCGAGCAGTATAAGCCCTTCTCTGGCCTGGGAAAAAGCAGCGAACTCTAGAAGCTAGGGCGTTGTAGCTTCAATAATTTAAAAACTTATAAATTAAATACCTCTCAAGTTTAGTGAAACTAGGCGAGGAGTATATGTAAGGATGCCCTGCACATATTTAAGCAAAAATGGTGTAAGCATTAGAATAACATATAATGCTTCTAATCTACAGATTTGAATCGACTGTACCCAATCCCCATTTTCCCTTGCCACCACTAAAAATATGCCAACTAGATATCTGAGTATCAGTTAATAGTACCACAATCAAATTAACCCATACTCTATTGTACACACTGGTGCAACAGGCAATCTGGAAATGGTAAATGGAACAGGGACATCAGATAGCAGCAGACCATGACACCAATTAGACAAGTCAAAATGCAAGATCTCATTCAATCTTCTACAACACACTTCTAGTTCTAGTCACTAACGAGATTATTTAAATAAATATATAAATATACTTAAATGCCACTTCAACCACAGAAAATTGCACCTGCTGTGTCTCACCAGTACGATAAAGTACATCCATGTTAAGATCCTGATTCTTGAACACCAAATCAGCACATGGGTCCCCAGCCAACCCAAGCAATTCATCCTTACAACAGAACACAAACGAAATGCTACATGGTTAAACAATGAACACGCTATCAACAGTATTCCAGTGAAACACAATAAACTTCACCCCAAAATAAAGGGAAACAGAATAAATTATATTAGCAAAATGCGTGTCAAGAGAATCAACTTCCCATAAGATAAAAAATAAACGTAGAGGGGGAATGAATAGGAATTGAAACCTGAAAGTTCCAGAAGTGAGAACCAACGAAGTTGGCAAAACCACCAACTTGGATAGTCACAATTTCTTTCATATTCGCTTCCTGCTAGTCACAGAATAGCATAATCCATTGATTAATTGCGTGAAAGCAGTTTAATACGAAATTAAGTATGCAATTAAGTGAGAAGCGTACCTTAGGTTAAGCTCAGCGGTTGGTTTTTGGCGGCAAAGGGTAATATCGATGTTTGGGTGATGCAAAATATAAACACTTCAATTTAATTTAAGCGACTGAGTCTGAAGTATGAAAACAGATTACTCTTCGCCGCAAGCGGCGGAAGATTTTCTTTTCCTTTTCCGAATCGGGTCGGATCTACAATCCTGGTTTGGAATTTTTTTAAATTATTTTTTACCATAATTTTTTATTAAAAAATTAACTATATGTTTGGAATGAAATTATTAAAAATATGATTTTTTAATTCTCTCAGAATTTTATTAAAATAAATAATTAAAAAACAAATTAAACATATATGAACTTGAAGAATATTTTATTAAATAATCACAAAAAAATAAGACTAATTTATATTATATTTTATTTTTAAAAATAATTTTTTAAAACAGAAAGAAAACATGCTCTAAAGAACTACCTATGAATTTATTCTTTCCTATGCTTCTTTCCAAATTGGATCGGGTTTGATTTGATCCGATTTAGATCCATTAACATTATGGTCGGAGAAGATTTCAAATCGAGCCCCAAACCATGGCAGATCGGGTTTGATCAAGCTCGTAAAACTTGGCAGTTTTGGGATAGTATCAGGCAACAGGGTTTGGAAGGCCCAACTTATCACTCAACAATCAACCCACAGGCTCATTTCATATATCTACCAAATAACTTGACCCAAATAAAAAACAATCATTGTTAATATATCTGAGTGGAAAATAAAGTAATTTTATAAATGGCTTAAACCATTTAGTTCTGAAGATAAAATATTAGTTATACTGTAAGTCTTTTTAATCTAGATTACATTGTTTTTGGGCCACTTAAACCTATTTATTTTTTAAATTACACAAATTTTTTATGATTTTTCTTGTAACTAAAACTTTGATTTTCATTTTTAAATATTTCAGGTTTACGATGAATCTAATACATAAAACATGAGGTTTACATTGCTAATTACGTCTTAATTTAATATCCTTTTAAAACATTTTTAAATTATAATATAATTTTTTTCAAAATAAACTAAATTAATGTATTTAAACTATCATTTTTACTCATATAATTTTAAGTATTAGAAACTCAATTCTTAACTAATTTCTATATTATAAATGAGAATCTATTATTTAGAATAGAAATATTTAATAGAATTATTTTTTGTAGTATTTACCACATGTATATCTTATGATTAAAATTATGTGAGAATGATGTATAAATTAGTTCTACATTTTTACTTTTTTTATTTAACTAATTCTTATTATTTTATATAAACTTTTATTTTTTTAATACTTAGTTTTACATTTATAACTTTTTTTATCTTATATAAAATTTCAAAATTTTCTATAAATACTCGTATTTACATTTATAAAATTATATTTGTAATATTATTCAAACTTCATATTACTCTTGGATACTTATGTTTAATCCTACAAAATTCACAATATTTAATTTTTTATTTATAGTGCTTTAAATAAAAAATTTCAGTAATTACATGTATTTAATTTAATGCATAAAACATTATTATGTTTTTTAGAAGCTATAAAGTTAATCACTTTTATCATTTTTTTCCAAAATTCGTATATTGATCTGAAATACTCTCTTACAATCGTTTCTTTAGTTAATCATATAATATATATACACACACATAATATTTTATCTAATTTTCATTAGTGTATTATATTTTATTAGTTTTATAATTATGCAAATTTCTTAATTTTTATATTTTTTTATCTTTATAATATATTTTGATATTTCATATTAATGAAATTTTGTTCTTCAATTATATATAATACTCGTACATTATATGAACTAGTTGTATAAATTTTAATATGTTCTGAATGCGTGTACATATATGTGTGCCTGTATCTTAAAAAGAAATTGTGTTTTAAATTTGTTAAAATAATTGAATAATGAAGATGTGAATGAGTATTTTTATAATTCTGATAACCGGTTTAGTTTAAAAATATTGGTTTATTATTAACAAAATTATAGAATTGACAAGTAGAAAAATACGTTTTAAAATTACAGTATTAGAAAGTGCTTTGAAAATAGTATTTATTCCCACGTTTTGTCTTTTGGTATTTTTTATTCGATTATGAATGGTGAAAAAGGCAGAGGTTATCTCTGAAAAGAACCAAATGGATTATGCACATTACATTACCTTTCTAATCTCGTGCAATGAAAGTATCATTTTTGAAAAGAGTTACTTATGAGGATAGATGCTCATGAAAGAATAATGGAAATTATTCGTACACAGATCTGTTGATAGCACGATGAAAAAGAAAGAAAGCAAAAGAAAAATAAAAATTAACGGTGAAGAATAAACTTTCCCAAGCTTGTGAGAGACAAATTTACGTGTGAATAACATTGTAGAAATAAAGAATACCACTAACTTGGATTATTACTATATAAAAAGGTACCGATGAGAAATGACGAATGATATGCTGCCGGAAAAATTCTGACACTTTATGTCCACCTTAATAAGATCCAGCCAAAATGCTGAAACCACGTCTACAAAAATTTGAGAAACAGTGTCTGTCAATATTCTCATTCGATCATGGATGGCAGAGACAGATTGATTAACACTTTGATTAATGAGAAGCAGAAAAACTCCTGCTTGTGTTAATATCTGTGTTTTAGACATAAAATAATATCCTGACAAATCACAACGATGGTTGATCACAACACCCCCATTCTGTGCACTCAACCCATCTCCACAGGACACTGTGTGTTTCAATTATGTTAAAAAAATTATAAGCATGGATTCAACTTCAAATTTTCGATTAATAATATTAAAATAAATATAAATTCATAAACACTCAAACGTGAATCTATCTAATCACGCGCACAATAAACTCCCGTTGGTATACTTTAGGCAATAATTTATCTTGTTGCCCAAGTTTTAACCGCAATATCCAATTTGGATATTTCCAAGTTGGATTCCAATACGGTGTGACATTTGCATAAAATTCAACCACCAAAAGCCAAAGCACAAGATAAGAAATTAGAGCAAATAGCATTAATGGGGATTAATCTATAAAAATTGCCCAGTAAAATTACAGCTACATACAACTATACTATACTGATTGTGACTTAAAACAAAAACCCGAAAAATCTGCAAAACCTCAGCAGCTCTCTACAAAACAGTTTAAAATAATGGTAGCATAAACTAGATCTCTTCTATAGTTCTATGTTGTTAGATCTATTATTTTTATGTAGTCAAATTCTGGGTCTTCATTTATATATTTTATTATTATATATTATTTATCTGCAAAACTTTAGAGGCTCTGAATATCAACTTCTTGGTGCTGGTGGACCCCACCTTTCCAATTCCGGCAATCTGATTGCTCGTCTTCTGCATCCACACTGTTCCTTCCAGGGCTTGAAAGACCTTTAACAGACCCTCCTAAGAGAAGAGGACCTTGTGGAGAACCAGACTGTGACAAGCTCCCCTTTGATTTATCTCCACATTGCTCTTGCCCCATCCACAACCCATTATTAATAGCCTGTCCTACTGAAGAAACTGGGAATCTCCTAACATGAAGCCTGTACTTCTGCACAAACCACAGATCTACATAAGTTGTTGTCGACAAAAAAAAGATAATAATGATAATTGAATTCTTAATAAACAATAATAATTTGGGTTCTAATCTACTAGAAAAACGCACTTGCAAATGGCTTTTCACTTCATCATTTGTTAGGCCTTCCACTTGCATCAATTCTCTAATCTGTTTAGGAGTGGCCACTGCAGAACAGAAATAACCCAATTAGATTAGATTAGGTTCAGTACGCACCCCCAATTTACATGAACAAGAATCAATTAGGCCTTGCTGAAACTTATATTTGTTACTTATTATTATACCTTGTGCTCCACCCAGTTGTTGAAGCGCGTCCACAAAACGCCGGTGAAGCTCCGGCGACCAGCACCGTCTTTGTTTCCTCGGATTCTGCTGCAGATGTTGTGGTGGTTGTGGATGACTCTGCACCTCAACGCGGAGCAAAGAGGAGCCAGAACTGCTTCCTCCACAACCACTCTTGGAATTGCTATGACTCAGTTCAGATGCTGGAGTCATCAAACTAAAGCTCGGAGCTTGCGAATCCGTCTTGGGGGCACTCGAATTTCCATTGAATGATGTAAATGCTCCTTCTCTATTGTTCTTCTGCTCCCGTGGTTGAATTGGGTTATTAGGCACATACCCGTCATCTTCATCATTCCTCTGCCATAGCAAAAAATAAAAATAAAAAATCTTAATTCTGTTGAATTGAATTTAATTACATTAAAATGTAATCTATGAATACAAATCCAAACGACAACTTTAAAATTACCGATTTGGTTTCAGTGCTCCAAAGCTGAGCTGAGCTCATCCAATTCTTCTTGTCACAGATTTGATTTTCCATGGTTAAGGGTCCATTTCCATTTCTGTTTCCTCCAGAATTGGTTTTAAGTGGCATGAATTCTTCAAGCAAAGGTGGATCTTGCATTCCCGAACATTTGTTTTTTTCCTCTTTCAATCTTGCTATGGCTGCATGCAAAACAAAATTGTTATTTAAACCGAGAAAAAGAAATGCACAACAGTGATGATAACAAAACGCACCATCGCTTAGGAGGAGCATGCAAAGGGGAAGCTCCCGTTTAAATGCCTCAACCTTCCTCGATTCATCTTCCAATCTTTGCACAAAACTCTCGAGCATGGCGAGTTTCTCGCACTTGTCTCTGTTCCGAGAAACATCGCCGATAAACAGGGAAATTGTTTTGGGGACAAAGCCTAAACTCAAATCCAAGCTAAGTTCCATAGCGTTTTTGTTTTGGGTTTTTTTGTGTGACAGTGAGCACCACTAACGCTAAGCTCCAACAAGTAACAAAGGTGCGAAACTACCATACCCTGCTTGAGTTGAGAACGAAGGCATAAAGAAGAAGAAGATAGAGATTAATTTATAAATAAGGAAAGGAAAACTCAGATTCAGACCAAAAAGATTCGTGTCTCTCATTCGGGTCGTCGCGTATTTGTCTCACTTGTTAACACTGCCCAAGCTTATGCCAGAGATTATTTTTTACACAGGAATTATTTATATTGATAAAAAAGAGAGCTCAACGATTACATCCAGTCAAAGAGGAAAAGAAAAAATAAATAATTATCGCTCATATGATAAATAAACAAGAATTAGATGATAATAATAATAATATTTTTATGCGCTGTAAATTTTATTTTTTTAATTGTATGTATATAAAAAAGTAAATTTTTAAAATAATAATAATTATACATGATACTATATAAGATATGATATTAAATTTTAAATATTAAATAAAATATTAGGCTAAATTTTTCCACACTTTGTTTATATATAAATAAAATAAAATAAAATAACCACTCAAGTAAAATTGAATCTTATTAAAGTAAAATAACTGAAGTAATATGATAAGAAGAAAAAAGATAAGATGAATGAAAAATGTTATTTCATTTGTTTTTTAAAGTTTAAAGTTTTGTATAAAATTTAGGAAAATAATTAATGTTTCAAATTTTATTAAAAATCATTATTTATTATATGTAATCTTTCGCTAGATATATTAATTGTCAATGATAAAATTATAAATATGTTTATTTATTAATTTTATTACATAAAAAATGGACAGCTTAAAGTAATTAAAGTATAAAAAATATAATAAATAAATATTTATATTATTGGAGCATTTAATTTATTATTAAATTACTGTTGTTATAAAAAAAAAAGGTGAAAAAGTAAGGATAAGAGAAAAAACAAGAAAATAATTTGTTTTGTGCATGTGAGAAATAAAACCATGATAGATGAAACATTCTTTAAAAATATATCTATTGTTACTTAAAATTTTAAATAAATAAATAAATTTTAAATTTTAATTATTTTAGTTATGTTAACATTTTGTATTTTTAAATTACAAAAATATAGATATTTGAAAAAATATTTACTATTATTTTAAAAATTATTCTTACCACTTTTTGAAACCTTACTACTTTTATCTTTAAATGTATGTATCTATAGCTTTTTTAATAATTTTTCTAAAAAATTACAAAAACATGATTGTTTTGGTAAAATTATAAAAATATAATCTTTTATAAAGATTACTATTAGCGATTTTTTAAAAAATTGCTAACAATGACGTTTTTTTAGTATTTATTAAATATTTAATAATTATTTTAAAATTATTATTGACAAATTTTTATTTTTAATATTTTTTTGAAATGTTATCATTGTCAAATTTATATTTTTTTAATTTTTTATCTTTAAATTCTGTACTTACGCAAAAAAATTATCATTGATGATCTTTAAATTTTAAATTTTTTTAATTTTTAAAAAAATCAAATATAATTAAGTTTTTGTTCTGTTGATAATAGAAAAAATAATTTACGTATCTACATTAAAAAAATAGATATTTTAAATTTTCAATATTTTTATTTTTATTTTAAGTCTTTTTATATATATTTTTAAATTACAAAATATAGGTATTTTTAAAAATATTTTATTATTATTTTAAAAATCGTTATTACTACTTTTTAAAACTTTACTAGTTTTATTATTAAATATATGTATTTATAGCTTTTTTTAATGATTCTTTTAATAAGTTACGGAAATATAAATTTTTTTGTAAAATTATAAAAATTCAAATTTTTTAAACAGTGATTTTTTACTGTTTTTAGTACTTTTTAAACAATTAATTATTATTTAAAATTATCATCAATAACTTTTTTTAATTTTTAATATATTTTTTAAAATATCATTAACAACTTTGTTACTTTATATTTTTTATTTTTTATCTTTAAATTTTTGTATTTATACAAAAAAAATTATATTTTTAAATTTTGTATTTCTGTAATTTTTCAAAAATTACTATATTTAGTATATATAATTTTTAAATGTATAAAAAATAATCCATGTATCTACGTAAAAAAAATTCATATTTTTATAATTTTAAAAATATTACATTTCAGTATATATAAATTTTAAATATTATATATAAAAATAATTTATATTTTGTAATTTTAATTAATAAAAAATATTAATAATATGTGATAAAGTATGTCAGAAACCTCTGGATTCCGTGCTTAATCGAGGCAAAATGTCATTTGTTACTTTTGATTATGTGAAATTGTTTATCCAATTAGTCTGCTTTTGTGGAGATTCTTTGTTTGGTTGGCTAATCAGTTGTGTAAGGTGAGGTATAGTTGACCTGACACGTATCTGTTACAGTATTGATGAAAAGTAAGGGTATTTGAGTCATTCCAACACAGCACCTCATCCATGACCCGTACTCTTCGCTCGTGTTTGGCATGACTATATTTTGAATTTTTTATAGAATGATCACATTGGTCAAAATTTCCTGATATTATCATCTCAACTCCAATAAAATTATTGCTAGATATACTATTTTTAGAAAAGAAGTAGTGTGAAAACCACATATCAACATAGACTGAACTTGTTATTGCACCCAATGTTTGACAATTTCTGTTTCCTGCATTTCAAAGGTTTAAATTTGCAGTAAAATTCTCGGTGATTTTAAAGGGAGACCATGAGTCCAACAAAAAGTAGATATAAAACTATTTACCATGTGCAGTTTTTACGGTCAACAACCTTTATTTTGTGGCATTGATTCCTTATGTGATTTTGATTCTATATCTCCTAGCGTAACTCGCAATTATTGTATATTAATATTACTCATGAAAATGAAATTCATGAAAAAAAATATTATATATATATATATATATATATATATAAACAGTTGATTAGTTGTTTAGTTTTGTTAGATTTTTTTAAGTTTAATTAAAGGTGAAAGCTAGGATGAGTTAATAAAATAAATGACTTATAAATAATTAATTATTTTTAAATCGTTAAATGTATTTTAATATCTATAAACGTTTTATATCTTTTATCTATTACTTAATAATATAAGTTTATACATATTTATTATTTAATTTTTTATAAATTTTTTTTTTACTTTCAAAATTTTTTATTTTATATCTTTAAAATTTATTATTGTCTTTTGTCTTTAAAATTTTGGACATTGTGTTTTTCTTTCTTCAACTTTGTATATCATAGATCTCTTAACTTTATTTTAAGAAAGTATGCATTTATATACGCATTTAAATGCAGCTTAAAAACATAATCAAATATAACTTTTGGATCAATAAAATGTTAAATGTTATGTTATATCTTTAGAGTTTTCACAAACTCTATCTATGAAATTAATAATTTCTAAAATTAAAACTTTCATATTCACTCTTACTATCTCAATTCATCATGAAAATGAGATTTTATATTGATACATTATTTAATGCCTTTTTCGACATTTCTCATGTTCTCCTTATATAATGGTCATTTTTGTATCTACAAATTTTGCAACATTCACTTAAGTCAAATTTTTTTTTTCGCTTGAGTGAAAATTTAAAAAAAAAAAACTCATTGCATGTAATTCGCTTAAGCAGAATATAAATCGTTTAAGCTGTGAATAACAGCTTAAGCGATGATTATTAATTTAAGCGAATATCAAGGTAAGGAAACTTTTACATTATAACCAATATAGCTTAAGTGAATATCAAGGTAGGGAAATTCTTACATTATAAGCTATTTTTTCTAGCTTAAGTGAAAATTACAGGAAAATAGTGGCTCACTGGAATGATTTTATATAAGCGGTGATTCTTGCGCTGAAGCCATACAAGTTATATTACTCACTTAAGCGAATAATATTAGCTTAAGCAAATACAATGCTAAGAAAACCATTAAATTATAACTTATTTAAGCTTAAGCCAAAGACTATACCTTAAGCGAAATAATATAAGATGTAACAAATATGTTTTTCAATTTTTCCTGTATTGACCTATGTTATATTTTGATTTCATAATTGAATAGATATATTAATAAATTAATTATTTCATTCAATCCGCTTGAAGCAACTTACAAACCAAAATTAAACAAATTATCTTTGGGAGGATAGTCAAGGGGTTAATTATTTTAAGGCTTTAATATGTGATTGGTTCTTATAAGTTGCATTTTGTGATAAATGCTTATAAAGTTTTTTTAGTTAAAATTTAGTTCATAAAATGTTAACATGTTAAGATTTAGTTCTTGTCGTCAATCTCTCTTCTGTTAATGGGTGACCTCACACCTTATTTTATTCATTGTTTTAATAATTACAATGATAAGTTAATTGATTAACAATAAGTATTGACTTTTTATGATAATTAGGCTTAAGCTTTCAAACACTTTTATTGAAGTTGTAAAAAGAGTTCTAAAAGCTTCAATCTCGTTCCAAAATATAATAGTTACTATTAATTCAAGTTTCTTTGACAAATAAAAAATTTGTTCTTTAACAATCATTTCAGTTATGTAATTAAATTTTTAAATATCGAAAAAGTTTTACTAAATACATTCTTAGGCTTAATATTAACTTTTATAATTGAAATGTATGTCCAAATTAAAATTGTAATAAATAATTAAAAAAATTAAAAATAATATGAAAATTTTACTTTTTATACTCTTCTATTTTAAGTTTGAGATTTGTATTCATAACATATGACTTAGCTCAGTAATTTAATATCAAATTGATTAAATTATATTTGGTTGGACTAGTGGTATTTATGGTGATTAACAAATGTAAAATATATATATATACATTTTACTTTTAAATTTAAATTTATAGTTTAAGTGAAGATAAGAATGAGTCTATAAAATAAACTAGGTAATAATTTGTTATCTTGCTTGAGCAAATGATGGAAATTTACTAATTTGCTTAAGCTAATAATAATTTGTCTAAGCTAATAATATTTTGCTTAAGCTAATGATATATCGCTTAAGTTGATGATATTCTACTTAAGCTAATGATATTTTGCTTAAGCTAGTCTTTTGGCACTTAAGCTAGT